TAAATAAAATATTCTTCGTTTCAAAATGAAATTCTAATAATAATTCTTCCATACAATATAACATTATTTGATGATGATATTGACTTTCTTCGATAAGAGTAAGAACACGTAAGCAATCATGCTGTGATCCATTATTAACATTGGTATTTATCCAGTGTGTATAATGAAGATTGACTTGTGGTCTAGCAACAGTTAAACGGATCAGAATCCAATAGAATAGATTATTCAATTGAAACATTTTTGTTCCATATTTTACACAATAAAAAAAAGAATACAATTATGTATATTTATACTGTTTTGTTTCCTTTCCTCTTTTTCTTTGAAAGTATCTGTAGGCGTTTTCATTCGTAAAAACCTCTGATAAAAAAGGAACAAATGAAGTAGTTCCTGTTTACATAGTTGCTGACGTAAATTGGAACAGTTATCATATATAATTGTTCCCTATCTAACTTTTTCCTGACGTAGATTAGAATAAATTTCTTTGTTTTACTATACGTATTCTATATTTGATAAATCTGTCATAGGATTAAACCGAAAAAGTTTTTATCTAATAGAACATTACACTTTTTTTCTTTTTTAAAAGCATACATCTATTAAGTTATTTGATTAATGTTTTATAGCTAATATTGAAGGGCAACGTTTAAGGTTGCTCAAACATTGTGAGAACATTAAATTAAGAAATCAATTTTACGAATTATTCAATCCAGGTCGAACAATCCCATACTCGGGTCCCATCAGATTCAATATAGGATTTTATCAGATCCTACAGGAATTCGACGGATCCGATCGGATCCACCATCGAATTTTTTTACCTGGGTTGTTGATGTAGAGCTGCATTTCCTAGAACTATTTGGAACATGACAATGAGTTCTCCAAGGCAAAGTATTTATACAATTGTCTGATGAATTTGTACGTCAATGTAAAGCTAGCACGAACTAACGATGTGTTAACTAAAAGCTTGTTTTACTAAATAAGTCTCGTCCTTGGAATTTATATCATTCAACTCAGAATTTAAGTCTGCATCGAACGGTGATGTTTCTACTCACGAGACAAACTTTGGAGAAACTTTATTTGGATCATAATAAATAGACCTATAGGAGGCAAACAAAGATATAAGTAAACATTTTTCCAAAGTCTGTCCCGTTAGTAGAAACATCACCCTTCGATGCAGACTTAAATTCTGAGTCGAATGATATAATTTTCAAGGACAGGATTTATTTAGTAAAAACGTTTTTAGCTAACATATCGTTTGTTCGTGCTACCTTCACACTGATAACTTATACCCACTTTAGATGGGGAATGAGAGCACGACTTTGAGTAGAGGGTTAGCAACGGTTACTTTGCGTTACTTGTGAGTTTGTATGTATAATCAATAGAGAGAACAAAACACAGACCTGTTCAATAGACAGTGATTTGAGACACTTTTAAGCTATAAGAATATATGTCTAAATGTTTTCATCAAACCTTAAGCATTTGTTTCTTGATATGTGTAATGATGTTCATTTGAAGTAAAGTTTGAAGATGGCCTCTTGTTGAAGACTGCGAATTCATTTGATAGGATCAAGTGAAAAAATGTAAAGTGGCATTCTTGTTTCACGCTGCGTCTGGAAATGCACCTCATTTTGTTTTAGAAGACTCATTCAGATTGTACGAAAAAATGTTTTCGTTCAAACTCTTTCTTTATTAAACTTTTAGTTGAACTTACAATAAATAGATTAGAACGAAAGACGATCTATTCACTGCGGTGAGAAGAACTTTTTGAGACTTCGTAACACAATAATACATGTTCCTCACTATACTTTTGGATTATCCTAGGTATGAATGAGAACATTGTGCAGTTTAGCGCCAACAAAGGAAGGATGCACTGTGACGAAAGAAGACAAGTTCGTGAATGAAAATCTGTCATATGAGACCGAAAAACCAAGGCACACATACGGAAACTGTCGTGTATATGCATAGAGCAATAGAGAAACTGTGCGACGCGCTAAAATGGGTAACAGCCGAGTTCCTCGACGGTGTTTCCAATGGTACAATCAGCGTTGTTAAAATGGTATTTACCGATGGTAACATTGATATTGAGGTTGAAGTTGTCCAGGTGGGCTCTAACGTTCTTAAAGTTGTATTTGTAATTGGTACTATTGAAGTAGTCGTGGTGAACTCTGAAATTGTTGAGCTAATCGTGGTGCTATTCTCTGCAGCGTTGGAAGCAGATGTAGTACTGGACTCTAAAGTACTTGAAGCAGATATTGTGCTCAATTCTGAATCGGTTGATCTGGTGGGTGTAGTCGATTCTGGAATGATTGAGGTAGTCGTTGAAGTTTCTGAGATTACTCTTGTAGTTGTTAAAGTTGTGTTTGTGAATAACGTCGTTGGTAGCGTGTGCGTAGTGATGGGCTTAGTCGTAGTTGTACTTATAGGTGAAGGAGTAGTTGATTGAGTGGTCGTAACGATCGTAGTGGTTGTTGTATCTATTCGTGGTGTACCTATTAGAGATTATAGAACAAGTCAATCGATCCATTAATATTTGAAATATCTTGGTAGAGCATCGCACTTCAATTAGTATCTATTCCGTGAGTCATACACTAAACAATTATGAGGGTAAATATAGATTTGTTACTTCCATTCACAAGGACCGCATTCGCTTTGACCTAATCATAAAGTCGTATATATCTTTGTCAATTTCAATTTGCTTTAGTAGTAAGAATTGAGAGAAATATCTGATGCGAGCCAGAATATATTTTTCTGGCATATTAGTCTTACTATTAGTGTAAATGACAGAATAATGGTACAAAACTTACCAACGCACACGTTGTTCTGACATAGATTACTCATACAATCATAGCATGTCTTACAACGCAATAAGTCTTGACATCTTGGACACTCGAGACCTCCACAATCAATATCAGACTCATCTTGATTTCTCATTCGATCCACACAATGAAAAACTATAAAAAGCAAAAGAATGACTAATAAGAGCCGAAGAAGATCTAAATAGAGCAAACCTTCGTCATTTGCTGGAGGAGATTCTTCAGAGCTCGATGCATCAACCGTGATAACTATACGAGTTTGAACAAAAGTTAGATAATAAGAATGAGCGATCATCATGCAAAGTACCAATTTAAATCTATGAAAAGGTGTCAAAGGTTTCGTTTCGGATATAAAAGTTCTTACCCAGTCATCATAGATAATATTCGAATTTAAATTTTATATTAAATCCAAGGGAAATGTGATAAAATCTGAAGAGACAATTGAGAACTGATGAAGAAGAATTGATTTCCAGATCGAATTCTAATGGAATGATGCACATTTGAGAATGGAAGATAATATCTTGAGACTTTATCAGCACAGACTCTTTAACTATTATTCAAACTATTCTATCGAACATGTGCAGTTACATCTAGTCATCCTATCGAAAATGATATTTTCTGTAACCGAAGAGAAAGAAATTAATGATTTGTCAACGAAGCACTTGAGATGAAGTGTAACTACCACCTTCGTTTTTATTGTCTATTCACCTTCAGATACTTTCTCTCATTTTTCATATAAAGGCTCGTTTTAACAAGAAAATAACATGTCAACATTAATTAGTAAATTTGAAATAGACCAAGAAGTGCGATGATATGAGCAAACAATGGATGATTAATAAAATCGAGGACAAGAATTTTGAATTTTAATCGCATTTCGCATCGAAATTTGTCTTTAAGTAAATATTGTGTCGAATAGATGCTTTTCAAGTTTGTTCTATATGTATGAAAAAAGAAAGTAACTGTAGAAATATTCGTCGCATAGGAAACCCATTGACATACGAGGAGAAAATAAATGTGAGCATTTCTTTCGCCGGCTGTATCGAGATGTTTTGTTTGGTGAAAAAAAAACCATCCGAGAAAATTACAATTTCAGTTCTCTTTTCGTGTGGAAGAAAAAGTAGGTAAAAATGTTTTTTCTAGAAGCGTCGAACTGGTTGGTGTGTATTTTTTGAAGAAAGAAAATGTCGCTTAAAACGTTGATCTTTCTACAGAAAATTTAAGCAAACATTCACCTTCAAATCACACCCTCTATAACTTTTGAAGTAAATCTGAAACATATTGTGATCAGAGATGAAAGTTAAAGACGAAAACAAACATTTTTTCTTCGTCGTCGATACAAATTTTGAAGAACAAACACAAAAATATGTTCAATATCGAAAAATTCCTTAATGAAATTGCTTTTTAGATTAAATCACAATAGAAAGTTGTCGTTCAAATGGGCGCATTCAGGTAATAAGTTTTGATTTGACTACTGCTATGTACGATATCTTTTCTCTTTTTTTCTTGTTTACAGTTCAACATCATTGATTTTGTTGATGTTTTGTTTATTTTCCTATTTCGTCGTGATTAACGGTAGAATCACAATAACGATTGATTCTTCAAGTTCAGAAGAAGGACATAAACCGAGACAAAAGGGTATGTTTGAGATTGCGATTTCGAGATAAATATTATATTCTATAGAACCATGTTGTACCGATCGAATGAAAAATCAAGATGAATCTGACATTGATTGTGGAGGTCTCTATTGTCCTAAATGTCGAGATATGAAGAAATGTACTTCTCCTAACGACTGTCTCAGTAATGTTTGTATTAACAGTACATGTATTCGTAAGTATTATACCGTCTTGTCCTTTCATATAACACGATTTTGTGTTATTTCAGCGTCACCTTCGTGTCGCGATCAAATTCGGAATCAAAATGAGACCGATATCGATTGCGGCGGTCGTACTTGTCAGAAATGTCAGGATATGAAGACTTGTAATGTTTCATGTGATTGCCTCAGTGATGTTTGTATTAACAATACATGCATTCGTATGTACTATTTGCCTTCAATTTGATGATGTAGAATAGACTTTCTCCCCCTAGCATCGCCTTCCTGTTTGGATCAAATCCAAAATCAAGATGAGACGGATATCGATTGCGGAGGGCGCACATGTCCAAAATGTCCAGATATGAAGAAATGTACTTATCCTCAAGACTGCCTTAGTGATATTTGTATTAACAACATATGTATTCGTGAGTGTCAATAATCGTCTTTGTTCGATACATAAGAAATGTTGTACTTTCAGCATCACCATCATGTTGGGACCAAATTCAAAATCAAGACGAGACGGACATTGATTGTGGAGGAAGCATTTGTCTAAAATGTCACGATACACAGCATTGCAATATTCCTAGTGACTGTCTCAGCGGTGTTTGTATTAACAACGAATGCATTCGTAAGTATTCAACTCTTGTTTATTTTAGATTAATAAGAAGTTAGTGTCGTTTCAGCATCACCTTCCTGTCAAGATCAAATACAGAACCAAGATGAGACTGATGTTGATTGTGGTGGCTCGATTTGTCCGAAATGCGGCAATGGTAAGGCTTGCAATACCAGTGTGGACTGTTTAAGTGATCAATGCCGAGTTCAATTCTGTCAAAGTACATTCTTTGTTCTTTCTCGAACTATTTTGCAAAGATCTTTGATTTTTTTCCAGCATGTTCATTGGTTAGTTTCCAAAATGGTGATTTTGAATTGGGAACTACTTCTGGTTGGACTGTTGGTGGTGGTTCACGAACATCGCTCTCCTCATCTGAAATTTTACCCGATTACTTTTTACCAGGCGGAAGACTATATAATTACACCATAGAACATTCATCAATTGTTACTAACGGAAGTGATCCAATTCTTGGTGATTTAATGCCAGGAATTGTCGAAGGTGGTCAATACTCGTTTCGTGTCGAAGATTTAGTCAATGGAGGTTATGCATCGGTGATTGGTCGACAAATCAATAGTTATTATTGTTTGGATATTTATTTTTCATGGTTGGCTGTTTTACAAAATGGAAATCATTCTTCGAATCAATCGAGTTTAGTTATTGTTCAATTGGAGGATATAACTACAGGTGAAAAATTAATTTTACGTCGTTATGATGCTGGAGCAACAGGAAGTGGTATTGATAATCGTTTTCGACAAAAAGATAATTATTTTTATACACCTGCTTGGCAATCAGAACACTTAGCCATCGATAACACTCGTTTTGGTCATGATTTTATATTAACAGTTTTCGCAGGGGATTGTCAACCAACTGGTCATGTTGGTTATATTTATCTCGACAGTTTCAGTGGTCTTTCACCATAATAAAATTTCCTAAAACTTCACTTTCGATTTCGTCGACTAAAATTGACATGACAATGAACTTTTCTTCTTATATATCGATATTTACTCCTAGTGTGTCTTTTTCAATTAATTAATAAAACTCTCTATTTGCAACTGATTAAATTAAACTAAGAAAACTCAGATTCAACAGCTTGTAATTATGATAATCTTCTTGCATATTATAAATTATCCGGATAAAGATCTGTTCCAATATTACCAGTCATTTGATGTTTTGCACAATCTTTGTGGAAATATAGTTTTTAATTTGAATAAGAAAAAGTCGATTATAAGCGTGAAGCAATTGAAGAACATCTGTGTAAACTTTTTATGTGAGAATGAGAAAGCTTGAAGTAAAAGAAATTATGATATTCCATTCAAATATACACTTTGTTCTCATTTTTGTTTCTTCTCTGAACCATACTGATGTTCTAGAATTGTCATGAAGGTGGTATTATTATGAAATACATTTCAATAAAAGTATAGATCTCAGCAAAAGTCGTAAGGCAGATGAATTTTTTTTTCAAAATCGGACTCATTCACAGTTACTTTAATATTGAATTAAACGAGGGCAAGTCTCAAACTGGTCGATAAATTACAATTGTTAACTAATGGTTCACATGCTCTAAAACTCCTCAATTTATCATTCGTTTTCCTTTTCAGTAATAAACATACAAAGCTATGAATTCAACAGTGATACAATTCGTTGTTGTATAGATAACGAAAATGAATTAAATTCAAGAAATTGTTTTGGAAAAATTTGTTGTCGTAGTTGACAATCTATTTTCCGAATTTCAAAATTTTGTTATTTGCGAAAAAACGAAGTAAGAAAAGCGATTTGAATCTAAAGCGAGCAAGGAACTGTTCTGTTCTCTTTAACGTCTAATATATTGCAATTTAAAGAATGTACAACAACTTTCGTTTATGAAGACGACTAAAAAGACGTAGGATACCTTCGGGCAGAATTCGACATTTTCTTCGGCGGATTCGTTTCAGCGTAGATTCCAATCAAACTAACACTGATTCCAAGTGCAACTTGATGAGCTCTATCGGTTCCAAAAATAAAATTTCCAAAAAGCTCTTTCTTCACCTTCAAAACCTAACAAAACCTGGAAAAATCCAAAAAGATCCGAAACTAGAGAAAAGCCCGGAGGCGGATTCGTTTTACAACCACCGACCGTGATTTCAACACTGGTTCTAGATCAAACTCGAGAAGCTCTATCGGTTCCAATCATAAAAAAATTTTCACCCACACCCTCTATACCGTGAGAAGCAGTCAGCTACTCAACCAGTTTGTCATTACAGACACGATGGGTTCTTTGTCGTCCTTTATATTACTGTTTCTGTCACCATCAAACAAAATTTGCCGAAGCCTTATAAAGTAATGCTACGGAGTGGGAACTAGGAGGAAAAGAAGCGAATTTTTGAACATTAAATTGTGCATATTTTACTGGGCGGAGGGCATTTTTCGATAACTTTGTGGGAGCTGTGTTACATAGGGCGGATATTGCTTTGTGTTTAGAGTGTATCTGCTGTGGCGCCTCTCTTATTGTGGTTGTTATTTTTAGATTTGATTTCAATCATCTTGTAGAAATTGTTTCGCTTCAACTCTTCGTCTCATGTTTCTCATTGTTGAGGAAGAACACTATCTTCAAAACAACTGTTTCTTTTATCTCTTATGTAATGCAATCATAATAAAGGAATTTATCTTCTGTCTTGAAAATAAAATATCGATCATCTTACAAAAAGGGCTGATGTTCTAAAATCAGAAAACTAATAGAATGAATACTAATGAACACCGTTCCCTATTGCCATGTAATCAACTGATATGATCTCTGATTACCATCGTATTTTTTTCGTCTCTTATTTCACAATCAGACACCTATAAATATACCTTCTACCGTCCAATGCAGTAGTCGACTGTTGATACAATAAACAAGATAGCTCATCATCAATCTTCTGATGCCATGTCAAATGTATTGCCACTTGTCTTCCTAATTGTAAAACTGATATTTGAGCCTGTTTTCTTTCGATTGCGTGTCTATTTCGTGCTTCATTTATTTCATGTACTCTTTTGCTACGTGTAACGTCACCGTATGAATTCTTTAGAAAGAATTAAATTTAGACATAAAATTTCGAGTGTTATTTGTAGATACAGTAAAAAACAAGAGTGAAAAGGATAAATTATGACTACGTCTGCACAGCCTGAAGAGTATCAGATGAAAACATCGCTTGATCTAACAACAGATGATACTGCCAATCATTTTCCATTGTTACTTGACTCAAAAATGGAAAAAACAAAACTATTTCACGCTGGTGGTTTTATAATGTTCAAGAAACTGGCTGCTTATTCATTGGCTCTAGGTATTCTAGTTGCAGGCAGTGCCCTATTCGTTGTTCAACACTTACCTACCCAAAGCACAAAGCTAGCTGTCGGCACATACACAGGTAGTAATATATCATCACAAATGGAAAGATGTTAAAACTCAGCTTCACATTCTCTATCTTATGAACAAAACTCGAGACAGACTATCATTATGAGAAATGCTTTCTATTGCCAGTGGGGAGCAAAACAATCAACTTTATTAAATTTTTATCCGATGACTTCTGGCGAACAAGTCAATTACAGTTCGCGATTAAGCAGCGAGCGAAAAACGATGAGATGATATATTTCATAGGTCTTTCCTCAAGTTGGATTGTATGACGTTCTTCTCTCGCGAATCGGTATGAAAGGATGTTTTTTCTTTGTAGAAAAGAATGAACTTTCGCCAAGCTCTACTCCTCGAAATTCGTTTGCTAAACAATCATCTGTTGTTCAAGATCAATTGATGAACATACCAGCCAGTGTTCAGAAAAATGGCATCGCACCAATTGATTCACTAGCTGAAAACGTTCCCATGATCGAATCGGAAGTTCCAACATTTATTCAGCTAGACAAAACGAATCCATATGTTCCAGAGCACACGACATCCCTTCCGACTATCGCTGAAGGTCCCAATTTGTCCGTTCTTGAGTTTCCAACTGTTTATCATCCACAACAAGAAACTATTGTCACAATGCCAATTATAGAAGATCCATATAACATCAGCAATTACGGTACATATCGAGTAACGATTTATTCCGAAGACTCGCAACATGTTATTGCTGATACATTATTGAATGTTGTTCCACGAATAGAACTCTGTGTTCCGAAGCAGTTTATTGTTCGTGATTCTGTTAATAATATCATCAAGGATGGAATTGTTACATTAAAGTCTGGAGAGGAACACGCAGTTGTTTTTACAGGTAGAACAGATCAAAACGGTTCGGTTAATTTGCCTGACACGATTACTGATGGTTTATACGAAGTTGAAATTTATTCACAAAACAATTCTAAATTACAACGACTCAACTTTTCGATGATAGCTTTTCAGAATCGTCGACAGATGAAGGCCAATTCATTCATTGGACGAACTGATCTTAAACCGAATGAAATTGAAATTGTGCTCAAATGGGATGCAGATCCTCACGATTTAGACTCGCATCTTTATGCATCCGATGGAACGCATATTTATTTCTCTACGAAGAACGCTGAAAATATGTCATTAGATTATGACATTACAACAGGTTACGGACCTGAAACCATTCGATTCACTGTTAAATCGAATTTGAAATATATTTATGCAGTTCATCGATACGCAGGAAATTCAATACTCGCTCAGTCGAAAGCCGAGCTTATGTTTTCTATCAATACAAATCAGACACACATATGTCGAGCCGGAAAACAAGATAAACTCATAAATGGTGAAAAGCATAGAATTCCGCACACGGCACGTCCTCAAGCGAACTTTTGGGTTGTATTTCTGCTCGACGGTTCAACAAATGAGATCAAGTTTTTCGAAAATGCATTCGAGAATCATAATGATTTTGGAACAAATATAATTCCTACAAAATATTTTTCACTTTAATGTATCACATATGAATTGCTAATTCATCATACCTTTCGCCTTTTGTGAATGTTTCTTGCATGTGTCATTTGTAATTTTCTTGTTTACTTGTGATCTTACAATACAATACGCCGTTCAAGTACTCTTTTCAAAAGTGTACGACAGGATCAGCTGGTTCCGATGTAATTTCCATCAATATGAAACTCGCTCCAGAAAATAAAAATATCATACGAAACCTTATGTTCAAATGAATGTCCACTCATGAAAATCAACTCATCTGACGCAGAATTTGATTCTATGTTGAAGAAGTTCATTTTCGTCGACGGGAATTGATTTGAACCTAAGATTGTATGATTTTTCCTTTTCTGGCGTTAGATTCACATCGATCTCATTGATACTTACGAAATAAAGTACATTTGAGTCGATTTGGAAATACTTGTGTTTCTTTTTTTGTGGGAGGAACTCGATGGAAATGCCCTGCTTTAAAATAAACTTAATAAAACCACAACTTTCTCATCGATGTGAAGTTAACTTTACATGAATCCTTTTATTTTTGACGTTTACTAATAAAAAATATTCAATGATACAAGTGATTTTATTATAAAACGTACCATTCTTCATAGAAAAATATTCGAATGACTTTTTGAATAATCATCAGTGAAGATGTGAATGGTCGATTACACTCATATCTTTGTGTATTTTTTATCATTCATCATTACGAAATGAAACTAACTCGAATACTAACGCCACCTTTTCAGTAATAAACAGAACAAAAGCTATTCTATCACACATCCTTTTATTATCTTCATTATATATTTACTATAAATATGAAACGACTCTATATCAGACAAAAAATGTCTATCGATGAATCAATATTTTTCTCGTTCTATTATAACACAACCGCACCATTTACTTTTTGATCATTGTTGATTATAATACAAGATCGTCTTTCAGTCAATAATCGACAACGCTCACAATTTTGTACGAAGGTTGTTCTTTTAATGGAACGAATTTCTCATGGACTTCAAATTCTTTTTCAAGCGGATATCATTGGCGACAAAAATCGTAATTATTATTTCCTTTATTTTATTAAGTATTAAAGAATGGAGACACAGAATGATGGCAATGCGATTTAGAACAGATTGAATTCGTCGTGATTTAAAATAAGAAAAAAAGGGTTTCTTGCAAACAATTGACGTATTCTTTTCATCGAAAGAAGAATTAGATAATATATTTTATGGTTATCCGAGCCTTTGACAAGCTTCACAAGTGATATTTAACATAACAAACAATCTATGATCAATATCGTGTGTGACAATACAAGTGATTCTTCTCTGCTTTCTGTTATTATCCTATGCACTCGAGCATTTTGTCCTTGAGAAACAAAATACGCCTACACAATATCTGGCACGTAAGAAAGTGTTACACTTCGCAGTACGATAATCCTGGTGGATCGTGCTCTGCAGAGATCGAAAAATGGTTAACTAATACTTTATTCTAGGTTCCATAAGAACATGAGACCTAAAATCTGCAAGACTTATGTGACGTGACCAAATTCTGATTGAAATGTTATCTTTCTATTTTTGTTAGTATTCACACCCTCACCCACACCCTGTAGTTGATCAGATTATAGTTCGTGATGTTTTTTCATGCGTTTACTTGCTTGATCGTCAATGATCTTGATGACCTTCTCAACGTCCAGACGTGAACTATTTTCTTTTGCATGGAAAATAACGTCTTGAATATCTTGCGCGTTTTGTAAATATTCCATTTCTCGGGCGAATATTTCTTTCAAATACGATGTTAGTTCATCACTTGTGATTATTCGTTGACCACTGGCAAGATCAGTATTCAACATATGTCGACCCATACCGAATTCGTGTTCTAACCGGTACCCATTCACTGTCTGATCAGCGAAAAAAGGCCAGACAAGTGTTGGTTTTGCGGCTGACATACTTTCAAGTAAACTATTCCAACCACCATGTGATATAAATAAACGTACAGCAGGATGTGAGAGAATAAATCGTTGTGGAGTCCAATCAAGAAGTAAATGTTGTTCACTATCAATGCCTAAGGGTAAAATAAGTGTTTGTAATTTCTTTTTTAATGACCAAATAAATGGATATGGTTTGAGAGCATTGGTGATTTCGGAAAGTTGTTTAGAATCATGAGAAACCCACGAACCAAAAGCAATATAGATCACACAGGCAGACCTATTTGCTCGTTCCCAATGTCTATCCAACCATTGTTTGATATGAACAATAAGAGAACTCTAAATAATACACGAGAATATTTATAAGATTTTTTGCACGACCAAAATGATATTTTTACTTGACGAGTTTCAGCAAAATCGTCCGAGATCAATGGTGCTACAAATAGAACGGGTATATTTGCAGCAGGTTGTGATTTTCGACGTAATTTATCCAAAATGATATCGTCAAGTTCAAAAACCGAATTGCAAATAATTCCCTTCGTAAGCAAAACGAGGAAATCTATTTGATGATCAAAGTTTGGATTCACTTTGCCACTTTTAGTATTGTGTATTGCTATGTCAATAGTGTGCATAAAAAATAATAGACTATTAGGAACGAAGATATAAATCGGAATATTTCTTGTATAACTTTCCCAAACAGGTGTCAAAACAGATAGATCAGTAATGATCAAATCAATAGGTCGTGTGATTGAATGAGTTGCTAAGATTGTTGTAGTTTTTTCTGGAAAGAGTAACGTCAAAAGAGGTTCATGCATTCGACGAGCTATTTCTCTCATTGGAACATTCATGCCTTTATTTGTAACCTATTTTTGTACATTAGAATTATGTGTGTTTTTCTGATTAAATCAAAATAATTTACTTGATAATCATCATTATTACCATCAAGTAAACCAATGAATTCTATTCTTGATTGTATTGAAGTATTAGCTTCAGTTTGATTAATAGATACATGTTGTTTAAGAATGTCGAGTTTTGATGCCGATACGATATAAGTTACATGATGATATTCGGATAAACGTTTAGCAAAATCTAATAGTGGAATCATATGACCAAATAAAGGAGCTGTTATCAATACTACATGACCAAGACTTTCGCTCTTAGCATTAGTCTCTAATAATATTGAACAGATGATTATGAATACCGAAAATAAACGCATGAATTTGGTCTCGTATGCTAAACGGTAAAAATACGAAACGCTTTATTTTTTGTTATTTCAAATCAATGCATTTTCATCATACGACTTTTTTCTTTCCTCACAAGAAATTATTGAAAGCTTTACATCACAACTTTTCTATGTGTCGACAACTTGCCGGTTTCGACTATTTTACGATACTTTCATTGCCAACTCTCTCTACAATACAAACAAAAAAAATTACTTCAGCTGTTTCGCTGCTGAAAAAGCGGTTGCACTGTTAGAATTGATTAGTATGGATCTCGATTCGTTTAGATGATAACTTCCGATAGGTATTTCAGATTAAGCATACATTTTCTACACAGCAGCATCTCATCAACCTCTCAGTCGAGTTAGAAGATGAGCTCAATCGTGATGATCTCTCTTACATACAAAATTAAATATTTGTTCTAACCGCGCATTCACATCCTGTTTCATTTTTTTATCACATGTGTACTTAGCGTATATTCTGAGAGTTACTGACAATCAGATGAGAAAACTCCAACATTGTCACCATCGTAGTTAGAGACAACAATATCGAGTCTATTCGTCGGTATCTACATTGAACCTTGTTTGAGCATACAGAGTTTAACTAGTTGCATACGTTTGCTAAGAAATAAATGTGCCGATATCTGCATTGAGGAGAACACCGACCTTCTTTGAACCAGAATTTGCGACGATGATGTCAAGTTTGTTGTCGCCATTGGTATCCTCAGTTGTTAGAAAATGCAGTTGGATACTAGTTTAATATGTGATTTGTGGCAAAAATGCATCAGAACCATTGTTGAGAAGAACGTCAATGTTATCTGCAGCGGTATTTGCGACAACAATATCCGGTTTTCTTATCTCCATTAAGATCATCGGTTATTATGGGAAACGGTTTAGATCCAGATACAGTTGGATAAATCGCTTGTGTTGTAAGATTCATACATACAATTATCATGGAAAAACAATATCAGCTCTTATATGATGAATGAGTGAGGCTTTGAGGGTAGTATATAGACGTTGTTCACATTCTTCGTGACTTTGTAGATTTTGTTACAGCATTAAATTTTGTTATGTAGAAAACCAACCTAACCGATGAAAGTTTAATCTAACAAAATTCAGAGAATCATATTGTGTCGTCATTGTTTGCTGTGTAGAGGTTAACCAAAGTCTAATTATCACGGCTAATAACAAACTACTTGTAAGTATACCGAGTAAAGGGCATGAACGGTACACGCGTACAGCATTCTGGCAGTCTCGCGAATACACCCCGTCTTGAAAAATAACGATCCAATTTAGATTTAAGCAAAACAGTAGCTTTTACCGTTTCTTCTTTTGATCAAAGAGCGTCCTTCCTCACAATCGAGCGTAGAAACATTTCTATGAATAATTTTTTTCGCTTGCTGTTTTCGACGAATCTTGAACGTGACTCGCATGATTTTTATTTATTAACCATTCACTGTGTTGCAAATATTCAGATACCACTCTTAATGAAGCAACTATACTATTGAAAAACAAGAACGAATTTCTCTTGTATGATTATTATGAAAAACTATTTATATAATGCAGTAAAATTTTAAAGAAGTCATTTAGATCTTTATTCCAGAAAAAAATGATTATTTTCAACAAAGAACCTAGTAATGGCATAGTTTTTTTTATAATTCTGTGATGAGTAAGCCCTAGTTATGCTTCCAGCAAAAAATAAATCAAGAAACTCAGAAGCTTATAATCGATCGATAGAGGGCGTGAACGATCATGCAATAGATATATATGCACAGGACTGGCCTCATCAGTCCTATTTCTATTCATGTGAAGATCTTTTAAAGCTAGCGGTAATGCTCTTAAATTACTAGGATATAAGTTGACGCGATACTATGTATGATAAATTACGAACATTGTTATCTGACTATTTTCACGTGTTTATTTCCGACGATCGAATAAAATACTTTCTTTTCTTATCATAAAAAAGAAACTGGGTATTTTTATTTAAAATGTGTTGATGTTGGTTACACTGAGTTTATTTGATCATGATATCTATTTCTGTTTTTATTTCTCTCTTCCTCTGATTTCTAGTCGAATCTTCGTTGTTAATTAAGCGAACATTGAGCACACGCGTCTACAAGTCTAACTAACGAGCATACTATTTTTTATAGATATAAGATGAGTAGTACAACTTCTGCCTCGTTTGTGGAACATCGCTTGAAAAATGTCGTTCATTCAAATTACGCAGTTCGTGAAATAGTTCAACGAAATATTCAAGAATTTTTCCGATTACGTGATGAAGTCTTGAGCAAACCGGAAATCAAAGATTTAAACATTTTCGCTGATATTCTTTTACCAGTTCTCGAAGGATTACGAATTAAACAGTTGCAAGCGTGCGCACGATCAAACAAAATTCAATTGGCACTGTGCGGAGAGAATTCCAGTGGCAAAACAGCCTTCTTGCATAACTTTTTGGGCATTGGCAAGATACTTCCATCAGGTGATGGTCCTGTTACAGCGCGTATCACCAAACTCACGTACGCTTCTCCTCTGGAAGCCTCTATTCGTCTATACAACAACTTACNAATTGGTGTTTAGAGCGTATCTGCTGTGGCGCCTCTCTTATTGTGGTAGTTATTTTTAGATTTTGTTTCAATTATCTTGTAGAAATTGTTTCGCTTCAACTCTTCGTCTCATGTTTCACATTGTTGAGAAAGAACGCTATCTCCAAAACAACTGTTTCTTTTATTTCTTATGTCATGCAATCATAATAAAGGAATTTATCTTCTGTCTTGAAAATAAAATATAGATCATCTTACAAAAAGAGCTGATGTTCTAAAATTAGAGAGCTAATAGAATGAATACTAATGAGTACCATTCACTGTTGTCATGTAATCAATTGATATGATCTCTGATTCCCATCGTATTTTGTTTCACCTCTTATTTAACTATCAGACGCCTATAAATATACCGTCTACCGTTCAATGTAGTAATCGACTGTTGATTCAATGAACAAGATAGCTCATCATCAATCTTCTGGTCCCATGTCAAGTGTATTGCTAGTTATCTTCTTAATTGTAACACTGATATTTGAGCCTGTTTTCTCTCGATTGCGTGCCTATTTCGTGCTTCATTTATTTGATGTACTCTTTTGCTACGTGTAACGTCACCGTATGAATTTTGTGAGAAAGAGTTCAATTTACACATAGAATTTCGAGTGTTATTTGTAGATACAATAAAAACAAGAGTGAAAAGGATAAATTATGACTACGTCTGCACAGCCGGAAGAGTATCAGATGAAAACAGCGATTGATCTAACAACAGACGATACTGCTAATCATTTTCCATTGTTACTTGATTCAACAATGGAAAAAACAAAACTACTTCACGCTGGTGGCTTTATAATGTTCAAGAAACTGGCTGCCTGTTCATTGGCTCTAGGTATTCTAGTTGCAGGCAGTGCCCTATTCGTTGTTCAACATTTACCTACTCAAAGCACAAAGTTAGCTGTTGACACATACACAGGTAGTAATATATCATCATGAATGGAAAGATGTTAAAACTCAACTTCACATTCTCTATCTTATGAGCAAAATTCGAGACAGACTATCATTATGAGATAGGCGTTCTATTGCCAGTAGGGAGCAGAACAATCAACTTCATTAAATTTTTATCTGATGACTTCTGACGAACAAGTCAATTACAGTTCGCGATTAAGCAGCGAGAAAAACAACGATGAGATTATATGTTTCATAGATCTTTCCTCAAGTTGGATTGTATGACATTCTTCTCTCGCGAATCGGTATGAAAAGATGGTTTTTCTTTGTAGAAAAGAATGAACTTTCGCCAAATTCTCCTCCTCAAAATTCGTTTGCTAAACAATCATCTGTTGTTCAAGATCAATTGATGAACATACCAGCCAATGTTCAGAAAAATGGCATCGTACCAATTGATTCACTAGCTGAAAACGTTCCCATGATCGAATCGGAAGTTCCAACATTCATTCAACTAGACAAAGCGAATCCATATGTTCCAGAGCACACGACATCTCTTCCGACTATCGCTGAAGGTCCTAATTTGTCCGTTCTTGAGTTTCCAACTGTTTATCATCCACAACAAGAAACTATTGTCACAATGCCAATTATAGAAGATCCATATAACATCAGCAATTACGGTACATATCGAGTAACAATTTATTCGGAAGACTCGCAACATGTTATTGCTGATACATTATTAAATGTTGTTCCACGAATAGAACTCTGTGTTCCGAAGCAGTTCATTGTTCGTGATTCTGTTAATAATGTCATCAAGGATGGAATTGTTACATTAAAGTCTGGAGAGAAACACGCTGTTGTTTTTACAGGTAGAACAGATAAAAATGGTTCGATTGATTTGCCTCACACGCTTACCGATGGTTTATATGAAGTTGAAATTTATTCACAGAACAATTCCCAATTACAACGTCTCAACTTTTCGATGATAGCTTTTCAGAATCGTCGACAGATGAAAGCTAATTCATTCATTGGACGAACTGATCTTAAACCGAATGAAATTGAAATTGTGCTCAAATGGGATGCAGATCCTAACGATCTTGACTCGCATCTTTATGTATCTGATGGAAAGCATATTTATTTCCTTACGAAGAACGGTGAAAATATGTCGTTAGATTATGACGTTACAACAGGTTACGGACCTGAAACCGTTCGATTCACTGTTAATTCGAATTTAAAATATATTTATGCAGTTCATCGGTACGCAGGAAATTCAACACTCGCTCAGTCCAAAGCCGAGCTTATGTTTTCTATCAATACAAATTATACACATATATATCGAGCCGGAAAACGAGATAAACTAGTCAATGGTGAAAAGCATAGAATTCCGCAAACGGCACGTCCTCAAGCGAACTTTTGGGTTGTATTTCTGCTCGACGGTTCAACAAATGAAATCAAGTTTTTCGAAAATGCATTCGAGAATCATAATGATTTTGGAACAAATATAATTTCCACAAAATATTTTTCACTTTAATGTATTACACATGATTTACTAATTCATCATACCTTTCGCCTTTTGTGAATGTTTTTTTGCATGTGTCATTTGTCATTTTCTTGTTTACTTTCGGTCTTGCAATACAGTGCCTGTTCAAGTGCTCTTTTCAAAAGTGTACGACAGGATCAGTTGGTTCCAATGAAGTTTTCATCAATGTGAAGCTATAGCCCCAGAAAACAAAAATATCATACGAAACCTTGTGTTCAAATGAATGTCTGCTCATGAAAATCAACTCATACGACGCAGCATTTGATTCTATGTTGAAGAAGTTCATTTTCGTCGATGGGAATTGATTTGAACCTAAGACTGTATGATTTTTCTTTTTCTGGCGCTAGATTCACATCGATCTCATTGATACCTACGAAATAAAACACATTTGAGTCAATTTGGAAATATTTGTGTTTCTTTTTTGTAGGAGAAACTCGATGGAAATGCCCTGCTTTAACATAAACTTAATATAACTGCAATTTTCTCATCGATGTAAAGTTTAACTTTACGTGGATCATTTTATTTTTGACGTTGACTAATAAAAAATATTCAATGTTACAAGTGAGTTTATTATAAAAAGTATCATTCTTCATAGAAAAATATTCGAATGACTTTTTGAATAATCATGAGTGAAGATGTGAATTGTCGATTACACTCATATCTTTATGTATTTTCTTATCATTTATCATCACGAAATGAAACTAACTCGAATACCATAAGCAGGAAAAAAGCTATTCTATCACATATCCTTTTATCATCTTCATTATATATTTGCTAAATATGAAACCACTCTATATCAGACAAAAAATGCCTATCGATGAATCAGAATTTTTCTCTTTTTATTAACACAACCGCACCATTTACTTTTTGATCATTGTTGATTATAATACAAGATCCTCTTTCAGTCAATAATCGGCAACGTTCACAATTTTGTACGAAGGTTGTTCTTTCAGTGGAACGAATTTCTTATGTATTTCAAATTCTTTTTCAATCGGATATCATTGGCGAGAAAAATCGTAATTATTATTTCCTTTATTTTATTAAGTATATTAAAGAATGGAGACACAGAATGATGGCAATGCGATTTAGAACAGATTGAGTTCATCGTTATTTAAAATAAGAAAAAAAAGGATTCTTGCGAATGATATACGTATTCTTTTCATCGAAAGAAGAATCAGATAATGTATTTGATGGTGATCCGAGCCTTTGACAAGCTCCACAAGTGATTCTTCTCTGCTTTCTGTTATTATCCTATGCACTCGAGCATTTTGTCCTTGAGAAACAAAATACGCCTACACAATATCTGGTACGTAAGAAACTGTTACACTTCGCATAGTATGATAATCCTGCTGGATCGTGCTCTGCAGAGATCAACAAATGATTAACTAATACTTTATTCTAGGTTCCATAAGAACATGAGACCTAAAATCTGCAAGACTTATGTGACGTGACCAAATTCTGATTGAACTGTTATCTTTCTATTTTTGTTAGTATTCACACCCTGTAGTTGATCAGATTATAGTTCGTGATGCTTTTTCATGCGTTTACTTGCTTGATCGTCGATGATCTTGATAACCTTCTCAACGTCCAGACGTGAACTATTTTCTTTTGCATGGAAAATAACGTCTTGAATATGTTGCGCGTTTTGTAAATATTCCATTTCTCGGGCGAATATTTCTTTCAAATACGATGTTAGTTCATCACTTGTGATTATTCGTTGACCACTGGCAAGATCGGTATTCAACATATGTCGACCCATACCGAATTCGTGTTCTAACCGGTACCCATTCACTGTCTGATCAGCGAAAAAAGGCCAGACAAGTGTTGGTTTTGCAGCTGACATACTTTCAAGTANGGGGGGGGGGGGGGGGGGGGGGGGTGAGTATTGTGTATTGCTATGTCAATAGTGTGCATAAAAAATAATAGACTATTAGGAACGAAGATATAAATCGGAATATTTCTTGTATAACTTTCCCAAACAGGTGACAAAACAGATAGATCAGTAATGATCAAATCAATAGGTCGTGTGATTGAATCAGTTGCCAAGATTGTTGTAGTCTTTTCTGGAAAGAGTAAATTCAAAAGAGGTTCATGCATTCGACGAGCTATTTCTCTCATTGGAACATTCATGCCTTTATTTGTAACCTATTTTATACATTGGAATTATGTGTGTTTTTCTAACTAAATCAAAATAACTTACTTGATAATCATCATTATTACCATCAAGTAAACCAATGAATTCTATTCTTAATTGTTTTGAAATATTAGTTTCAGATTGATTAATAAATACATGTTGTTTAAGAATGTCGAGTTTTGATGCCGATACGATATAAGTTACATGATGATATTCGGATAAACGTTTGGCAAAATCTAATAGTGGAATCATATGACCAAATAAAGGAGCTGTTATCAATACTACATGACCAAGACTTTCTTTTTTAGCATTAGTTTCTAATAATATTGAACAGATGATTATGAATACCGAAAATAAACGCATGAATTTGCTCTCGTATGTTAAACAGTAAAAATACGAAACATTTTATTTTTTGTTATTTCGAATCAATCCATTTTCATCATACGACTTTTTTTCTTTCCTCACAAGAAATTATTGAAAGCTTTACATCACAACTTTTCTATGTTTCGACAACTTGCCGGTTTCGACTATTCTACGATACTTTCGTCTCATTCTACTATTATTTTTTGGCGTTTTGTATTTTCACTTGAAACGTGTTACAGTTAATAATTGTTAATCCTCTTTACAGCATATAGAAGCAACAAACACAAATACATTTTTTTTAGCTTTTTGGGTGCTCAAAAAGTGCGTACACTACTCCGTCAGTATAGTATATCCGGGTTTTTGCTTTTCTTTTTTATTTATTTATTGGTGCGCATGCACTTAGACGATCGTAAAGTCACAATTAATGCAAAAATGGATAGTTTCACTGACAATCAGATGAGAAAACACCGACGTTGTTCCCACCGTAGTTTGAAACGATAATGTCGAGTTTACCATCGACGTCTACATCGGCCGTTGTTACAGCATACAAAGAATAACTAGTTGCATATGTCTGTTGAGACTTAAATGTGCCATTGCCTGCGTTGAGCAGAACACCGACGTTCTTCGAACCTGAATTGGCGACGATGAGGTCAACTTTGCTGTCGCCGTCAATATCTCCAACTGTTACGAAATACGGTGCTGTGCCAGTTGAATAGGTGACTTGAGGAAGAAATGTGCCAGAGCCGTTGTTGAGGAGAACACCGACAGTGTTTGAAACCTTGTTTGCAACAATAATGTCTTGTTTACCATCGACATCTACATCACCAACTGTCACAGAGTGCGGCTGTGAGCCAGTTGCATAGGTCACCTGAGAAGCAAATGTACCAGTGCCTGTATTGAGCAAAACACTAATGTCATTTGAATCTCTATTGGCAACAATAATGTCTGGTTTGCCATCAAGGTTGATGTCATTTACTGCAACAGAGTGTGGGCTACTGCCAGCTGGATAGGTCACTTGAGCAGCAAATGTGCCACTACCAGTGTTGATGAGAACACCGGCAACATTTAAACCAAAATTCGCAACGATAATGTCCGGTTTGCTGTCAAAGTTGACATCAGCAATTGCCAAAGAATGTGGCTTAGAGTTGTTTCCAGTTGAATAGATAATTTGTGGAAGAAATGCACCAGAACCGTTGTTGAGAAGTACGCCAACATTATCTGCGTCGGCATTTGCGACAACGATATCGAGGTCCCCGTCTAAATCGACATCAGCTGCTTCCAAAGACCACATCAAACCAGAACTCACTGCATAGTCGACTGGGGCATCGAACGTACCATTGCCATTATTAAAGAGAATACCGATTTCATCCACGCCAGACATTCCGACAATAATGTCGGGCTTTTTGTCCCCATTAAGATCGCCGGTTGTTACGGGAAATGGTCGAGATCCAGAGCCAGTTGGATAGATCACTTGCGTCGTAAGATTCATACATACAACTATTATGAAAAAAAACCCACAATATCAGTTCTTAATGAGAAATTTTCATATGATGGGATGAATGAGGGTTTGAGTGTAGATTACAGACTATAACCACATCTTTCTTCTAGACTACAATTTTACGTACTTGTAGTTGTCGAACTTGACGACGTTGTTGATGACGTTGAAGTGGTCAAAGTGAGGGAGATCGTTGACGACAAACTTGATGATGTCGAAGTTGTTGTTGTTGTAACAGTTACTGTTGGTGTTGTAGATTCTGTGGTGGTTGTTGTCGTCGTAACAGTTGGTGCTGCCGTTGTAGATTTTGTTGAAACTACTGCAGTTGACACTACTGTAATTACAATTCAACATGTTGAAATAAATATGTACAACATATCTCACAGAAAAAATGAGACTTCTTTTATACTATTACACCCTATACTGCCCAAAGAATCAACATTTCAAAATATCCACCGATAAATGCAAGATTTTGCTGTATAGAAAACTAATTTGACTCATCAAAGTTCAATCTAACAAAATTCTGATAATTACATTGTGTCGTCAGTGTTTGTCGGGTAGAAGAAGTTAACCAAAGTGCAATTAGCACCGCTAATAACAAACCACCTGTCAGTATACCGAGTAAAAGGCCGGAAAGGCATGGACACGACATACACATACAGCATTCTGGTATTCTGGCGAATCCACCCCGTCTTGAAAAATAACGATGCAATTCAGATTTGATTGAATTCGTAGTTTTTACCTTTTGTTTTCCTCATCATAGGACCGTTCCTCATCACAATCCAATGTAGAAACATTATTCAGATTGATTCGTTTCTCGTCTGTATCTTCCGATGCCGATGAATCTTGAACGTGAATTAGATGATTTTCTTTCATTACCCATTCATTCCGCTGTAAATGTTCAGATGCCATTCTCAATGAAGCAAATTTGTTATTAAAAAAAGAAAAATGAATTTATCTACTCTGGTTATTATGAAAAAGCTACCTATATGGTGCAGTGAAGTTCTAAGAAGCCATGTTCATCAGTTTTCAATTCTCCTTGTAACAAAGAAGATGTGATGAAGAAATCCTTTGGATTTTCATTTGAGAAAGAAACTCATTATCTTTAACAAAGAACATAGCAGCCGCATACCTTTATTTTAATTCTACGAGAACTAAGCCTTAGGAATGTTTTCAGTAAAAATAAATAAAGAAATTGAAATAATCCAAAAAAAAGCATTTCGAGCAGTTATTAGATGTCTTATATACCTCGACAAATTACATTCAAAACATCGGCGGTATTCCTACAGTGAAGACGTGTGCTGCAACTCTTCTATCAAATTCAATCACGAAAGCAGTAAACAACGGGGATAGAACACGGAAAGAAAGTCTACTGCGTATCTGGGCAAAACGTTGAGCAAATGAAACAAAAACCGAGGGAAGTTGCTCGAGGGTGAGGGTGATGGTGAGAGTGAGGGTGTGGATGAGGGTGAGGATGAAGGTTGTAGAAATTGAAAACTCGAAGCTTCGAATTCTAAATTTTAGAAGTTTAAAACTCGAAAACTCGAAGGAGATGTTTAATACTCGAATCGAGTTAACGATTTCTACACTACTCATTTATTCAGGAAGAGATAGCGTAATAGTAGTCTTCTGTACACTTGGATATACAAAAAAAATCGGATAACGTGGAATAGAAAAGAGAGAAAAATGTTTTCAAGGTGGCGAGTGCATGGAAAAATACTTGTTACTAATTTATGCAAAGTAGAGCTACCACTCCTTTTAGTAATCTTGTGAGACAAATAATCCCAGAGAGAATATGAAAAAAACATCGCATCGAACATCAGCATTTCGAATTTTATTTATAAGTCTCCGGAAACCCATAGAATGCAAATATGGTCTGAGTGAATTCTATCGAAGCCCGTCGACTGACGACCTTCCTCGTGGTCTCCTTTCATTTTGACTCTACAGTAGATCTAAACCAGTCTTGCAAGGTTTGATAAGAGTAGCTACAATAGAGAGTTATTACTAGCAGACAGGCAAACTGGTTGAAATTCACCCAAGTCCCTTTCGGATCCTCATCATGGTGTTCCAAATGTCATATAGACACTTTCATAGGCCAAAGCAACCCGATATGCAGTTGAAGATTTTGTGGCGTTATTTATTACAGAGCCATCTGGGAAAACTTTCGCCTAGATCACATATGCCCATCTTGGAACTCGCCTGCGACATTGATGAAATGATGCTATGTAGAAAGTTTCAGTTCAATGTGATTCTTCTATCGAAAGTTATCGCGTCAATGGACGATCAGACACACTGATCGATTCCAGTAGTGTGCTTGCTTTTTGAGTACGCGATGAATTCAAACAATCTGTTCAAATTTGTAAATCTTCGCATTAGTTATTCGATATCTTTATATCGATTCATAAAAGAAAACATTTTCTCTGAATCTCGAATATCTTCTATACAAGAGCATTCGATTATTCTATTGCACAACTTTTTCTTCGGAAATTTTAAATAATCTATACTTTCAGATTGATCTCGTCAATCTAAATGAAAGGTGAGTTTTCTCTAAATTTAATAAATAAATCGGCAAATTCTCTGTAGCATCTCAGCAATTTTTTTACATTCATATACATTGAATATCATTTCTTTTCGTCCTGATAAGAACTTCTTCAGTTTAAGTATAAACAGCATTCACCAAGAAAAAAGTGAGACAACAGTGAGATGGAACGGAATACTCCCAGTTGTGATTTACATCTTCATAGCGTAACCTGATCGATATCAGTACTTTTGTCGATCGAAAGAAGAATATGACACGATGTGCCAATATTAGTGAACATAGATTCTTTTCAAAAGACTGACAGTATGAGGTATGATATCGTACATGCCGTGATTGTCTATATTCAGAGAGGAATATTTTGAGATGAAATGGTGACTATGTTAACATTTCTTCATGATCATTACAGAAATTTTTCGGCTATCTCACAATTTTCCGGATTGATTTCTCGAGATTTCCAATGTCAACGACAAGCACATAAATACTTCCTATTTGAATCCGCTAAAATCATGAAAAAAATTATTTTCTGTCCACATCTGATATAATCAGTTCTCATGTAGACCACTGCAGAGGAGCCTTTCAATAGTCTTAGGAATACAGCTCGGAGATCTTTAGACAAAGATGAAGCCGATATAGACCAATGAGTTTGTAACAATGGTTTAACCTCTTGAATACCGCTATCTTCAATTGAAGACAGAAAAAGATTTTTTCGTTCTGTCGTGTCGAAGAACATGTGTATGAGAGAAAATCAATAGAGGCTTGTTCATGAACTTCATATATGTTCAAACATGGCACATGTTTACAGCTGATTTAAAGTATCCGAACGCAAGAGAGAGTGATTTTATATTTTTCTTTTAGCGTTCTGTAAGAACGAAAAAATCATTGGTATACAGGAGGTTAAAATCGATTGATAGATGGCATGAACGATTACTCAATAGATTGACCTCATCATGTCCTATTTCAATTAAAAAACACAAATCTTTTAAAACTGCTGATAATGTTCTTGAATTTTTAGAATATTAGTTGACGCTTATGTTGACACGGTACCATATGTGGTAAACTGCGGACTTCCATATTGGGATATTTCCACATCTTTATTTCCGACGATCGTATAAAGTACCTTTGCTACCACAACAAAAAAGAAACTGCGCATTTAATGAAGACGTATTGTTGCTGTTTTACACTGGGCTTCTCTCTCTCTTTCTCTCTGATTATCAGTCGCATCTTAGTTGCTAGTTGCCACAGGCATGTATATACACATGCCTTCACATTCTTTCTCTCCATCTGTTTCTGTTACCATCGTGATACATTCTTTTGCTCGCGGTTTTTGAATAAACAGATTGCGTGTCGTCTCTCGAGCGCAGACAACGCTAATACTAGTTAAGCAAACATTGAGTAGACACATCAAGAAGTCCATCTAACGAACATTCTGTTTTTATAGGTACAAGATGAATAGTACAACTTCTGCATCGTTTGTGGAACATCGTTTGAAAAATGTCGTTCATTCGAATTATTCAGTTCGCGAAATAGTTCGACGAAATATTGAAGAATTTTTCCAACTACGTGATGAAGTCTTGAGCAAACCGGAAATCAAAGATCTAAACATTTTCCCTGATATTCTCTTACCAGTTATCGAAGGATTACGAATTGAACAACTAAAAGCATGCGCACGATCAAACAAAATCCAATTGGCATTTTGTGGAGAGAATTCCAGTGGCAAAACAGCCTTCTTGCATAACTTTTTGGGCATTGGCAAGATACTTCCATCAGGTGATGGTCCTGTTACAGCGCGTATCACCAAACTCACGTACGCTTCTCCTCTGGAAGCCTCTATTCGTCTATACAACAACTTACGCGATCAGATATTAATCCACGAAGTCGACCTCTCATCTTTTTTTACTAAAGAAAAACCAGAGTGGATGAATGTCGGACGTACTTTGATGCAATATACGAAACGACCTGACGGTATGACTGATCAATCGTCTGAGTTCGACGCCTGGGCTCGATGTCTATTGGAAATTCGAATTCCATCATCAATACTCGCTTTAGGTATCGATGTTTTTGATACGCCAGGCTTTCTCTTCGATGATGCACCAGTATTAAAAGAAATCCTTCATGATCTTGTAGAATTATTTCGTCCGACAATTATTTTTCTCTACGCAAATCCTTCGACCGACGATGGCACTCGCGGGAGCTTTCTTGCAATGAAAACAGCGCTACATGATATCGATGAAACAAGTATTTTCTTTCTTAACTCAAAAGCTGATATTCAATATATGCCCAGATTTCGAAAAGACATGACCCGAGAGGAATTCATGTCGATGCTTGACGAAGAACGAGCTGAACGTTATGCTCTTCTACTGACCGTTCCTTTCATATGCAATGCCAATTTAGTAGGTCTTCCCAATCTAGTAGATCAATGCCCTTACTATGATATATGCAGTGTCAATTCTCAAATGATCAAACCGTATGGCCCATTGATGAATGAAAGAGTGGCTGAACGTATAATTCGATTTGTCGCTGATGATGATATGAGAGTAACAACGCGAGTATGTCAATTAATTTTGCCAATCATTGACGCTTTCTTTCAATTCTTCCATTTGACGCATAATCGTACCGCTGAACAACTACTACAACTGAAATACGATGGAATGAGTTGGTCTAAAAAATATTTTGACCTTTACAAGGAACAAACTGAACGATTTCTCATCGGTCTCTTTAACAAAGTTTCTAACCGACTGGATACACAAGAGCAAGAAGTATTATCTATATTAAAAAGCATTAAAAAACCTTCGGGGTCATTAGTCTCGTTTGTATCGTCTGCCATCAATTTGCAGATGATGCGACCAGCTATTCGTGAAGTGATCAAAGAATCGTTGGCTGCTATTATGGAACTGATTCGCTCCACTCCTGAATTACATCATGAATATATCATGAATGACATTCTGATCAAAGCATTTGGTCAGCAAGAAATTAGCGATTTCGCTGCTTTGTTATTGAACGATCGTGTTAATAAAATCAGCGTAAGTGCGAGTATCCTGTACATGGTCAACAGTTTTGCCATACCAACAATTACTTGCGCGAAAAGTCTGGAAACTAAGACTGAAGAAATCGTCGCATCATTATTTGGTACGTCTGTAGATGAAACAGTCGAGGGTAAGAATTTTAGCACTGCAAAATTAACGGAGGTGGTGAAGCGTTGTATATCTATGATACGAGAGAAACTGAAGGAACAGAAAAATGCGATGCAACGAGCAGTTACAGTGGCAGGTGAACGTCAACGAGAAATATTGGAATCGTTAGTGGAGCAAGTGTATGCAGTAGCATCACCTCAATTAGTTCTTCAACAAGAAACACTAAATCGAATTGAAATACATACTCCTCGATTTATCACTATTGAATGCGAACTTCGTGCTGCACAAGACATGGCTCGATTTCCTGGTCAAACTCCTACACTTCTGTCAATACAAAATCAATCCCATGTCTTCAGTATATTTCTGGCTGACTGGGGCGACGAGAAAAATCTCGTCGTCAAAAAACTCACACAACTTCTTCCTGATCAACCGTATGCTGTCTATTACGAAGCACATCGTCATGTTCAGGTGGCAAAATTACAACTTCCTTGCATTATCAACTTACGATATCTCTATAATCATCAACTTAATGACGGATCGACTGAGCTTTGGATGATTTTTCCTTCAATGCCTCTCACTCTACAACAGTTCTTGAATAACAACCAAACACTGATCCCGTTCGAACAAGTTCTTGAATGGATGATCCGTGTCGCTAGTGTATTAGCTACTTTGCATGATAATGAACGAGCTCACTGCAATGTTACTGTGAGCAATATTGTTCTTGATGATCATGGTCAATCATACTTAATGGACTTTGGTGATTGGAATGGTAATAGGGATTTTAGTTTATATCACCATCCATCATTTGCTACGGACCGATTCCACGATGATGTTAGAGATCTGGGACAGGTGGGACAAATTCTCAATGATTTCATTGATAGCAATGAACAGAATTCGATGATTGTTTTTGACTTTAAGGAATTGATGGATGAATGTCTTCTTTCTTGTAATGAGAAACCTGTTAAAATTGACGTTGTCAAAACGAAATTGAGTAGCCTTCTCGATAAATTATGATCACTGCTTTACATTTTAGATGAGTATCTCATACAATGATGCCATTCAAGCGTCGCTTTTGCTTGGTCAGCATATCAAAAACAACGTTGATCGCACAGTGAAAGAATTTCAAGACATACACCGCGGATTTTTTCAGACATTGCGTGACGGCAGTAATGAATCTGTGAGTATTGAATCATGTTCAGGAACGTAATAACAATTTTGTTTAGGGTTCTCACGAAAATATCTCGACATTTTTGGCTCGTTTATCACCAAGTGAAGGTGATGATCTGGAATCTAATTCGGCAAATATATTGAATAGTTACAATGCATCAGATCGGCCTGCTCTCGTGGTTTTTGGGCCAAATTCTAGTGGAAAAACATCATTTATTCAACGTTTCCTCAGCATTGGAAAGATTCTGCCCACAAGTATCGGACCAGTCACAGCACGTATCGTTCACTTGTCTTATGCTTCGCAGGAGCAGGCCGCTTTCTATGTCTACGATAGTGTCGCAAAGAACGTAGTCGTACATCGAGATACTTTAGCACCATTTTTCGTTAATCGAACAGAACCTGATTGGTCTAATATTAACCAGCGGCTCTCACCATATGTCAAACGGCCGTCAAATTATAATGCTAACTCGGCCGAGTTTTTCGAATGGGCCAAATGTCTTGTCGAAATTCGTTTACCTTCACCCGTTCTTCAATTAGGTATCGATCTTTACGACACGCCAGGTTTTCTTTCTGAAAAGCGTGAAGAGTTACTCAGTGAAAATCTTCATCAACTGGTGAAGCAAGTTCGTCCGACGCTGTTGTTTCTCTATGAAAATGCAACGATAAATGAAACAGAACGAAGTTGTTTTCTGGCCATGAAAAATGCCGTCAACGGTCTAGAACGTGTTCCCGTCTTCTTTCTGAACACCAAAGCGGACTGCACTTCGATCGCCAACGATTTTATGCTCGATGATGACCTCGACAATGTTCCCATTGATCTATTTCAACAGACTCTTTTGGAAAAACGGCAGCGTTGCTATGACCTTCTTCAACAACGAGAAGAAATGGCAAATGAAGTATTGGGCAATTTACCATCGTCAATAGAACAATGTATATGCTTTGATATTTGTACAACCCCGCCCAACTATGATCCCTGGGAAAACTACACTACATTGATCAATGACGCTAGTTTTCGACGCATCGTTGAGTTTGCTGTGAAAACTTTCTCGATGCCTATATTGGCAACTGCGAACGATCTACTGGTTTCGGTTGATAATTACTCTGACTTGCTTGCTACAACAACACCTCGTCCTGCCGAACAGTGGAAAATACTTCGTGATGAAGCACTCAAATGGGGAGAGACTTTCTTTAAAGGATTCACTGAACTCATGCCCGATCTCGTCTCAGAACTGATGAACAACATTCAGCAATTATTTGAACGATTGAAACGACCTATCGCTCAGCGTGCTGCAGCAGTTGAACGTCGTGATGATCCGATCGATCAACTTCTAGAAGATAACGCGAAAACGATCCGTCAATATTTGCAACTAGCTGTTCGTGAACAGATTATCAAGGTTGCAACTAACCAAACAATCGTTCAACAACGAGACATAATCCGAGATAAAATATCTATTCATTTTCAACGGCAAAATAACATGCGGAAGAATGAAGTGTTGACTCTCGCGCAACGGCATGTTTTAGGTGAGATCAGTACTGAATTTTTGGAAAACACCGATTGGCTCAATTCGATCCTCGATAGCATCATGAAACTGAAAATGGGCATGAAACGATTTTTTTGCAGTTTACCCAGTAAATGGCATTCTTTGACTAGAGAGAAATTGAGCCGATTAAGTGAATCCCAAACAACGATGGTTGAGGACGAAGATGTGTTCTCATTATTGGATTCTATGGATGCATATGCTACTCTTTCAAACGAAAACAATCGGCGACTATTTTCAGACAGTTGTTTAACTAAATTAGCCGAAGAAATTCAGCAGAAGAAACCAATTTTTACTCGCAATTTAACCATATGGACTTGCGAACAACAACACAGTTTCAAAGTATCAGTGGACGAAATTTACAATGACGTTAACAAGATTTTTTCCAAAACATCAAGCTCCAATAATCTATTACAAAAGTTTTCGGGCCCTTTGGCTCGAATCGAATGCCAAATATTAGCCGTCCTAGAGATGAGCAAACATAATGGCGTCGCTCCAATCATTGATGGTCCAATTGGACAAGGCGGCTTCTATAGTGTTTATGCTGCTCATTGTAATAATGAACAAAATCTGGCTATCAAAAAGCTAACTCATCGGTCATCAGAGCATGAACAGATGATGGTTTTGGAAATTCATTACCACCGACTAGTGACACGTTTGTGTTCCGAATATGTCGCTCCACTTCTATATGTACATGAAAATGCTCTTCCTGATCATCAAAATGAATTTTGGATTCTTATGCCACGCTACTGTCGATCATTACAAGAATATCTCAAAGTTTCTATTAACCATCTGTCATTTGAGCAGTGTGTCTATTTTGCATTGGCNGGAACAAACTGAACGATTTCTCATCGATCTCTTTAACAAAGTTTCTAACCGACTGGATACACAAGAGCAAGAAGTATTATCTATATTAAAAAGCATTAAAAAACCTTCGGGGTCATTAGTCTCGTTTGTATCGTTTGCCATCAATTTGCAGATGATGCGACCAGCTATTCGTGAAGTGATCAAAGAATCGATGGCTGCTTTTATGGAACTGATTCGCTCCACTCCTGAGTTACATCGTGAATATATCATGAATGACATTCTGATCAAAGCATTGGGTCAGCAAGAAATTAGCGATTTCGCTGCTTTGTTATTGGACGCTCGTGTTAATCAAATCAGCGTAAGTGCGAGCATCTGGTACATGGTCAACAGTTTTGCTATACCAACAATTACTTGCGCGAAAAATCTGGAAACTAAGACTGAAGAAATCGTCGCATCATTATTTGGTACGTCTGTAGATGAAACAGTCGAGGGTAAGAATTTTAGCATTGCAAAATTAACGGAGGTGGTGAAGCGTTGTATATCTATGATACGAGAGAAACTGAAGGAACAGAAAAATGCGATGCAACGAGCAGTTACAGTGGCAGGTGAACGTCAACGAAAAATATTGGAATCGTTAGTGGAGCAAGTGTATGCAGTAGCATCACCTCAATTAGTTCTTCAACAAGAAACACTAAATCGAATTGAGATCCATACTCCTCAATTTATCACTGTTGAATGCGAACTTCGTGCTGCACAAGATATGGCTCGATTTCCTGGTCAAACTCCTACACTCCTACCGACACAAAGTCAATCGCATGTCTTCAGTATATTTCCGGCTGAGTGGGGCGACGAGAAAAATCTCGTTATCAAAAAACTCACACGACTAATTCCTGATCAACCGTATGCTGTCTATTACGAAGCACATCGTCATGTTCAGGTGGCCAAATTACAACATCCTTTCATTATCAACTTACGATATCTCTATAATCATCAACTTGATGACGGATCGTCTGAACTTTGGATGCTTTTCCCCGCAATGCCTCTTACTCTACAACAGTTCTTGAATAACAACCAAACACTGATCCCGTTCGAACAAGTTCTTGAATGGATGATTCGTGTCGCTAGTGTATTAGCTACTTTGCATGATAATGAACGAGCTCACTGCAATGTTACTTTGAACAATATTGTTCTTAATGATCATGGCCAAGCATACTTAATGGACTTTGGCGATTGGAATGGTAATAGGGATTTTGGTTTATATCACCATCCATCATTTGCTACGGACCGATTCCACGATGATATTAGAGATCTGGGACAGGTGGGACAAATTCTCACTGGTTTCATTGATGGCAATGAACAGAATTCAATGATTGTTTTTGAGTTTAAGGAATTAATGGATGAATGTCTTCTTTCTTGCGGTGAAAAACCTATTGAAGTTGGCGTTGTCAAAACTAAATTGATTAGTTTTTTGGAGAAATTATGATCACTGCTTTATATTTTAGATGAGTATTTCATATAATGATGCCATTCAAGCCTCACTTTTGCTTGGTCAGCGTATCAAAACTAATGTTGACCGCACTGTGAAAGAGTTTCAACGGCAACATCGTGAGTTTTCTCAGACACTGCGTGACGTAAGTAATAAAACTGTGAGTATTGAATCGCGTTTACGAACGCACTAGCAATATTGTTTAGGGTTCTCCTGAGCTTCAAGAGATTATCTCGACATTCTTGGCTCGTTTAGCACTAAGCGACGGTGATGATTTCGAATCTAATGCAGAAAACATATTAAATAGTTACAATGCCTCAGACCGACCGACTTTAGTTGTCTTCGGACCGAATTGCAGTGGAAAAACATCATTTATTCAACGTTTTCTTGGCATTGGCAAAATTCTCCCTGCAAGTATTGGACCAGTCACAGCACGCATCGTTCATTTGTCTTATGCTTCGCAAGAACAAGCCGCTTTCTATGTGTACGATGGTGTCACAAAGAACGCAGTCGTACATCAAGATAGTTTAGCAGCATTTTTTGTCAATCGAAGAGAACCTGATTGGTCTGGCATCAGCGAGCGCCTCTCACCATATGTCAAACGACCATTAAACTATAATGCCAACTCAGTGGAATTTATCGAATGGGCTAAATGTCTTGTGGAAATTCGTTTACCTTCACCCACTCTTCAATTAGGTATTGATATTTATGACACTCCGGGTTTTCTTTCCGAACAGCGTGAAGAAATGCTCAGTGGAAATCTTCATCAACTCGTAAAACAAGTTCGTCCAACACTGTTGTTTCTTTATGAAAATGCAACGATAAACGAAACAGAACGAAGTTGTTTTCTGGCCATGAAAAATGCTGTCAATGGCCTAGAACGAGTTCCGGTCTTCTTTCTGAACACAAAAGCGGATTGCATCTCGATCGCCAATGATTTTATGCTCGACGATGATCCCGACAATGTTCCCATTGATATATTTGAACAGACTCTGTTAGAAAAACGGCAGCGTTGCTATGACCTTCTTCGACAACGAGAAGAAATGGCAAATGAAGTATTGGGCGATTTACCATCGTCAATAGAACAATGTATATGCTTTGATGTTTGTACAATCCCACCCGACTATGATCCCTGGGAAAACTACACTACATTGATCAATGACACTAGTTTTCGACGCATCGTCGAGTTTGCTGTGAAAACTTTCTCGATGCCTATATTGGCAACTGCGAACGATCTACTGGTTTCGGTTGATAATTATTTTGATTTACTTGCTACAACAACGCCTCGTCCTGCCGAACAGTGGAAAGTACTTCACGATGAAGCTCTCAAATGGGGAGAGGCTTTCTTTGAAAAATTCACTACAGTGATGCCCGATCTCGTTTCAGGGTTGATGAACAATATTCAGCAATTATTTGAACACTTGAAAGGCTCGATCGCTCAGCGGGCTGCGGCAATTGAACGTCACGATGATCCGATAGATCAACTTTTAGAAGATAGTGCGAAGACTATTCGTGATTATTTGCAATTAGCTGTTCGTGAACAGATTATCAAGGTTGCAACGAACCAAACAATCGTTCAACAACGAGACATTATCCGACAAAAAATAGCTGTTCATTTTCAAGGACAAAAGAGCATTCGGAAGAACGAATTGTTGACTCTCGCACAACGAAACGTTTTAGGTGAGTTTAGTGTCGAATTGTTAGACAATACGAATTGGTTCAATTCGATTATCGATGGTATCGTGAAATTAAGAATAGGCATAAGACGATATTTTTGCAGTTTACCTAGTAAATGGCATACATTGACTAGAGAGAAATTGAGTCGATTAAGTGAGTCCGAAACAACGATGGTTGAAGACGAAGATGTGTTCTCTTTATTGGATGCTATGGATACATATGCTACTCTTTCAAACGAAAACAACCGGCGATTATTTGCAGACACTTGTCTGACGAAGTTAGCCAATGAAATACAGAGCAAGAAACCACTTTTCATTCGCAATTTAACCGCATGGACTCATGAACAACAACAAAGATTTAAAATGTTTGTGCATGAAATTTACAATTGCGTTAGCAAGCACTTTTCCAAAATATCAAGCTCGAATAATCTATTACAGAAATTTTCGGGTCCTTTAGCCCGGATCGAATGCCAGTTATTAAGTGTGATAGAGATGAGCAAACATAATGGCGTCGCTCCAATCATTGACGGTCCAATTGGACAAGGCGGCTTCTATACTGTTCACGCTGCTCATTGGAACAATGAACAAAATCTGGCTATCAAAAGACTAACTCATCGATCACCAGAGCATGAACAGATGATGGTTTTGGAAATTCATTACCACCGACTAGTGACACGTTTGTGTTCCGAATATGTCGCTCCACTTCTATATGTACATGAAAATTCTCTTCCTGACCATCAAAATGAATTTTGGATTCTTATGCCACGCTACTGTCGATCATTACAAGAATATCTCAAAGCTTCTATTAACCATCTATCATTTGAGCAGTGTGTCCATTTTGCATTGGCAATCGCCCGTGCCGCAGCAGAATTACATCGTTTCGATTTAACTCATCGTGATTTAAAGAGCAGCAACGTGATGATCGATGACAATCAACGTTGTTATCTAATTGATTTTGGTACAGCTAAAATTGGATTATGCAATCAGACAGTGCTTGGTACTTTGCCACTTCCACCAGAAATGTTAACTGGTAAATCCATGCCGTATGATGGAACTGCAGTTGATATTTATTGCTTCGGACTGCTTTTGTATGAACTCTTACCGAAACCAACCTATGATCGACTCGATAAAAGTAAACTTTCTCGTTTGAAAGATCTATTAAAATCGAATCCACAATGCACTGAAAGTACAAATGATTATGTGGATGTTATGATGAATTGTCTTAACGAAAACCCGAGCTTGCGACCATGTGCACAAGTCGTGGTGTCTCAACTAGAAGAGATTCAGAGGAGAGCAGAAGTAAAACTCTGTATGGTCTGTGAAGAACACGAACGAGCACTACGCTTTGATCCATGTCAACATAAGGTGATGTGTGAAGAGTGTTGGCAAACATGGTCTCAACGAGCAAGTAATCAACCAAAATGTATCGTCTGTCAAAACGTCGTCAGAAACTACACACGAGACACCAGCAATGCAACCTTCATTGATTGAAAGTTTTTTTTTTCTCTTGAACATAATCTTGATGTGTGAATCGTCACCTAGTTAAATAGATATGTTTGTGTTTACGTAAAAATGCAATAAACTCATGTAACCGAAGTAAAATAATTCATGCGCGTGAAAAAGCCTTCGTGGATGAGAATGTGGGATCGTTTTGACCCCTTGAAGTTATTTTGATTGTTTCAACGAAACATTTGATCGTCACCACTGAACAGAATGCTGTAGAAGTATTAGAACTTTAAGATCAACATTTCATACTCGCCAACGGCTGACTGTGATTCAGCGCAATAAGAGATATAGGTGAGAATGCGGTGAAACTAATATGTTGCTACACTGAATCCAAAAATTTAGTTCGGTTGTGATATTTATACGAACTTCTTCATGTCATTAAAATTTACCTTCAACGTGAGAAAGATTTTCATGCCGGTACGACTTCTATAGCTTATGACTTGTTACATATAAGAACACCTACATTCATAAACATTTATTTCAATTCTTTTTCAGACATTTCATTCGTTTTGTAAACGTTCGGAAACTTCAAAATACCTAAATGGTATTCTTTCCTTAGCTAAATCTAATGCTTCGATTATTGATAATTAAGAAAAACTTCGCACAGTCACGTTCTCCTTATCTTTTCCAACAATACCAATTGAACAGCAATTCTTCTCTGGTTTTAAAAAATATGATAGAAAGTTAGATAACAAGATCATCCAGATTCTCATCATCAACTCCTTCTATATGATTTCAACCACGTGTTGCCTTTTCTTCGTCGTCAGCAAACACAGTAAAGAATTTGATAACAACAGCAATGATAAGAACTGATGGATAACCCTAAGATCATCTGAGTAAAATTTCAGCCAAGTATCCTCGCCTTCGCTATTACAGACTCTTTATTTCCAGGCGTGAGGAAGAAATTTCTTCGCCAAAATCTCGTCCTTTCGAAGAATAGAAGAGTATTGACAAAGAAAGATCAATCTTTCTTGATGATGAAATTTATTGGACATTTAATTGTTTTCAGTAAAACTCATAAACGACTTGATAAGTGTAATAGAAACTTGTTTCAAGAAGAAAAGCAAATATTAACAGTAATTTATTACCATTAGATTGTTTTTAGTTTGATAAAAATCGAGTATCGAAAAGAAAGTTTTATTCATACTTTGTAGTTGTTATTGAATTACTACTGACATTCTTCAATCAAAGAGCGTTTTTCACTATTGACGAAGTACATCTTTATAGGATAAATACGAAACTAAACAAATCTTTGCTTTTTGAAAAATGACCTCAAATGAAAATCTAATTCCAATTAGATTTTTATAGCGAAAATGTTTTTTTGTTGTTGTAGATCTTCCATCACATGGCGACTAAATTTGTCGACGATTCCAAACATAACCTTCGTTTTTCTGATTTTACTGCTCAACCACAACGTATGCTTCCACCTATTCTTGGCTATGACAAAATGCCTTTGGTATCCTTAGAAGAAGCTGTGAATCCGATTGTTTCTTTTGTTCCAGAAGTTGAACGAATGGTTTGGACAGTGAAGCAAACTCATTTGGAAGGAGAACACGGATTGACTGATGATGAATTAGCTGCTATTTTACTTTATACATTGGAATGGGAACCGACAAATCAGTCATTTTATGCTATTCTTAATATGAATTTACAGGCAGCTAATCGACAATTATTGAAACCATGGTTTCTTTATCTTCGCTTGATAATGAATTCATTGGCTAAACTTCCATTACAAGTTAATTGTCTTACTGTTTATCGCGGTATCAAATTGGATTTGAGCACACAATATTCAAAAGGAAGTATTGTTACTTGGTGGGGTTTTTCATCATGTACAACATCGATTGGAGTTTTACATGATGAGCGATTTTTGGGTCAAAGTGGGACAAGAACATTGTTTATTATTGAATGTTCGTCTGCTAAAAGTATTAAGAAATTTTCGTTTTATCCACAAGAAGAAGAGGTTTTACTTCCTCCGGCTCGTCAATTTCAAGTAACAGATTCGTTAAATCAAGGAAATGGTCTTCACATTATTCAATTGAAAGAAATTCAACCAAAATATCCATTGATCAATCCTGTGCTACAACCAACTCCAGTTGAACCGCCGGAAACTATTAATCCCAAAATACAAGAATATATTGATGATTTAAACTCAAATCTGGTAAGTGATTTATAATGAATTACATGTTTTCTACAAATAAGAAATTGATCGTATTCAAGCATGTCTGACGCTTTTTCATCAAAATGTTTTGAAAGTCCGTATTCTGAAATTCGCTTATCTAGCAATCGCTATTTTTCTTTCGAATTCTTTGGTATACTATCTCATTTATGGAAATTCGTTCGAACTTATCTTTTCGTCACTCCTCTTTGTCTCATAGACGCGTACAAGTCTGCATCTCGTCTCTCCTTCACCGAACGACCAAGAAATGAAACAACTTGCCAACGCTATACAAAATAACAAAGTACAAAGCACATTTTCACTAATCAATGTAAAGCTTTTCTTCATATCACACAGACATTGAAAGAGTTACATTTTACAATGAATCTACTCGGACCGTTGAGAGTACAGTACCTCGCGAATGCCATACAAAATAACAAAGTAAAACGCTTATTTCTTTTAATTGCTCGGTTATTTATCCATTTTGACGCAGACACTCACCGAATTATATCTCTTCGGCAACAACATTGGACCGGAAGGGGCTCAACATCTTGCCAATGCTCTATTAGAGAATAAAGTAACGCACTTATCACCTCCAATCACCTTGTCCATCCTTTTACTACGCAGACACTTAATAAACTATCAATTCGTGCTAACGAAATCGGATCACAAGGAGCGCAATATCTTGCAATTGCTTTGCAACACAACAAAGTAATTGTTATTCTTTGTTTCAATCGTCTAACAATTTTCTCTCTTTTCGCACAGACCCTTATCGAGTTATTTCTCGGCGCCAATGAAATTGAATCAGAAGGAACTCAATATATCGCTGATGCTCTAGTAAAGAATGAAGTAATAAACATTTAATTTTTAATCATTTCTTTCGTTAGCTTTCTTTTCGAATAGACACTTACTAAATTATCCATCTCCCAAAACAGAATTGGACCACAAGGTGCCCAATATCTCGCTAACGCTTTACTTCAGAACAAGGTAATAAAGATCTGTTTTATAGTCGCTTCACCATGTTTTATGCAGACACTAACTGAACTATCTCTCAGTATCAATCAAATTGAGTTAAAAGGCGTAGAACACCTCGCCAATGCTCTCGAAAACAATAGTGTAACACTCATCTTTTTCTCAAAAATATCATGATCGTCCATTTTTTTACATAGACACTCGCTTCATTGGAAATTCTTTACAATGAAATCGGCGACGAAGAAGTACAACTTCTTAGCAATGCCCTTCTGAACAACAAAGTAAAATATAGTTTTTATTTTCATTTCACCATTCTTTTTTTTGCCACAGGCACTCCACACACTTGCTGTTTATGGTCACACACAGTATTGTATAAAAATCTAAAAATTCATCCAGATGTAGAGAATTTTGAAGCACAGACCCTAAGGAAAAAATTTGTTAGCATAATCCTTACAGGATCAAAGTCACATTGTACGTAAGCCACGTCCGCCTCATAAACTCAAATCGGTTTGGAATCAATTCTTTTCTGTAGAGCATATCCTTAAGCGTATTAGTTGATTTTTCCTAGCTATGATACAAATGTTTCTCTTAAACGATTTCTCAATAGAACTCCGACAATTTTCGAAGAAAACAGTGAAGTCATTTCTCTTTGTATAAAATTCCTTCAGATCAGTAATGTCAGTTCGACTGGAATCGTTGTTCCTAGACGTTGTCTTCGAAATGCTACTCGAAAACATTAAGAAAAAATGTGTAATTTTGAGTTGCGCAAAATTAGTCGGAAAGTACAACACCTCATGTATATTCATTTGATTTACGCCAATGAATAACTTTTTCACATTTATCGGCAATTGTAATTTCGTTCATTGGAAGATTTATACATTTATTAGATATTTTCTTAGTTTTCTGTGCTCCTATTGCTGACTTTGATTATCGTATATTTTGTAGAAATGTGAATATAATTGGTCCACAAGGTGCACAATACCTTGCCAATGGTCTACGAGATAATAAGGTAATACAGAGTCTCCCTTTCAAGAATTTGTTGTTTATGCTCTTTTTACATAGACGCTAGATACACTAAAACTTCATTGGAACAACATCTGCGATGCAGGTGCACAATATATTGCTAATATTTTAAAAAGAAACGTAATAACGTGTATATGATTATCTGAGATATTCTGACAGTGATGCTGTTTCACAGACACTTATAATATTATGGCTTGAATTCAGTCATATCGGACCACAAGGCGCTCAATATCTTGCTAATGCTTTAGCAAATAACAAAGTAACATATATACGTGTTTTTGATAAATTCTTCACTCAATCTATTTTCACATAGACAATCATCGAACTAAATCTTCATGCCAACGATATCGGACCGGAAGGAGCTGAACACCTCGCCAATGCTTTGTTACAGAATAAAGTACTAAGTATATCATGTTTAATCAAGTCCTTGTGGGCTCTTTCCCAATTGGAGCTAAGACGCAAATATTTGGACTTGCATTTTTATACTTTTCAAGTAGTAATACTATAGCTGCTGTTCACAAAGAGCACTTGATATTTGCACTAACACAAACCGCAGTTTGACAGAAACTTGTGGGTGCCATTAAGCTTAGGCCGTTTTGTGATATTCTACTTGTGACGAGTCCCAGCGAAAACGATATACGCGCTAATAGAGTCATAGATTTATTCACTTATTCCTCTAAAAAATCATATCTGTTCTATACGAAGCACACACGTAGATGTGTACATCAGATTAAAGGAATAGAATGAGAAAAAGAACTGCAAGGATAAGATGAGAGTAATGTAAGGAGAACGGGAGATAGTACGCTTGATCGAATCATTACACTTCAATGATTATCTTCAAATTTATGCCGTTTCAATTTATGATTAGAATATTGAAGCGACTTAAATCTCAAGATGACTGTTGCACGATGATATAAAGCAGCTTAACCTTAGTGAAAAGAATGTATTTCCTTCAAACTATAGTCTGTTTTAAGTATAGAAACTAAGCACCAGATACACTTCTCTAAAGTACAAGTGTAATACTTTTACTTGTGATATTTGCACTTTTTTTCGAACGCTGTTTTCCATAGACACTCACTAAACTATCCACTTCTGGCAACAAAATTGGATCTGAAGGAGCTCAATATCTTGCCAATGCCCTACAATATAACAAAGTAATAGATAGCTATCTTCTAATGATCGGATGATTTACTCTCTTTCTTTTACAGACATTGAAAAGCTTAGATTTAACACAGAATCATATTGGTGATGAGGGAACTAAATATCTTGCTAATGCCCTTATAAGCAATGAAGTAACAAATATCGATTGTCAAATATCTATGACATCTAATCTCTTCTCATACAGGTGTTGACAGATCTTTCCGTCAAAAATAATCAAATTGGATCTCAAGGCGCACAGCATCTTGCTAATGCTCTGCTGAGCAATAGAGTAATACATGTTTCTCTTGTAACGATCTTTTTATTCGTCCATATTTCATGCAGACGCTTACTAGTCTATCCATACAAGATAATGAAATTCAATTTCAAGGAGCAAAATATCTGGCTAATCCTTTAAAAACTAACAAAGTAAACACGTGTTTTTCACGATTGCCATATGATGTTAATCTTTTTTCACTCAGACACTCAAACGCATATATATTAACAATAATGGATTCAATGACGAAGAAAGGAAACAGATCCGAGAAATATTTCGCATTACGAATTTGAGTGGATTCAGTTGGTAATGACAATATAGATATAGAAGTTTTTGAATGGATTCGATAAAAGAGTGTGACAAGAGACGTATTTGGATAAAAAATCAGTTTAAACATTGAATGTCTTTTTATCTTTTATTATTGACAATAGGAAAAAGAACGATAAAATGCACAAACTGACATATACTAGAGATCAATTCCAAAAAAAAAATATTTTTTAAGATGAAACATTTCGCTTTTTTAATCAAAGATGAGATGAATCCACACATCTATGAATTAGATCGGATGCATCGACTGAAAAACGAGCCGATAGAAGTTCTAAAAGTTTGTCTAAACATGGTACTACAAGCATAATTAACATAAAACGACATTGCATATTTGGCATAATAGAAAATGACACTTAATTGAATGACGAATGACTCAATTTGTTGTTGTTGAACACTCTTCGTTGTGGAACTCGTTACTAAATTATACACATAGGAAGTCGAACGTTGAATTTCCAGAAGGACACATAGAGCAGCATGGACAAAGATTAAAAGAAATAATTGTCGATTTGTTCGTTGATTCAACGACGATTGTTGAGTTGAGATGGACGATGATT